AAGCAATTAAAATAAATTACATGCTATGAAAACATCTGGGAGGAAAGGGTTGAAATAACCTTCTTACAAAATCACAAGGGAGCCAGGATTATTTTTTTTGTGGGGCTGTTGGTGGTGGTGTTAGAGGGGCAGTGAATTTTCACTTATTAATTTACATAGTTCTGTATCCTCTTATTAGTTTGGGTCAAAATTTGTAAGTCATGTTGGTTTTTCATGCAATTATACACATTTTGCTTTACAATAACATTATTAATTACAATCTCTGATCAACCCCTTACTATGTGTTGCCTTTTTCCTTTCATGCAACTTCATTTATTTTTACTAAATAAATTCCTAGTAATTACCATTCAAGAATGTTTCTATGTATAAGCCTTTCCTTAGCTTTTTGTAAGAATGGTCTTTGAGCATATTTGTCCTTTTGTAACTAATTCATGTCACCCAGGATAATTTCTTCTTGACTTATCCATGTGCAATGTTTCAGGAATTCTTTATCATTTTCCAGTGTTGCAAAATTCACATTTTGTGTATTTACCATCATTTTGCCATTCATCTGTTGATGGACACTTGTTTTTTCAAAGACTCTGAAACTGTGCACACCCATGTTTATCGCAGCTTTGTTTACAGCAGTCTTTTAAAGAGCTCTGGTGCAGTGCTGTGCTGTTAACTGAAAGGCCACCAGTTTGGACTGATGAGCCACTCTAAGGTAGCATCCCCCCACAAAGCTTCCTAGCCTCAGAAATCCAAGAGCGTTATTATTTGTTGGCACTGACTCAACAACGATGGGTAAAGGTAATCGGTTTTAGTTAGAGGAAGCATGTGTTACTAAGCATACTGTCTAATGAGAAATCATCCAATGTATAAAAACACTGGAACTCCTTATAAACTTTTGAAATCCCAGGACTGGACTAAGCTTTTCTGTGCTGAAACCCGGTAATGAACTATAAGCTTTTTTTTTAAAATTATTAACCTTTGTTTCAAATTTTATTCCCAGACTTCTTCAGTATATTTAGCTGCAAAGAATGAATTATATTTAAGCAGAAACTGAAAAGAGCTGCAATGTCCACAAGGCTTGTGGGGCTTAAAAATATGAGAGAACTAGATTTTATCAGATCCATAAACAGTACAATTTTAAAAAGTAGTCATAGCAGCTCAAAGTAACTTCATCACCTTTTATCTTCTTCAAAAGTTGATTCAAATCAGTTGGCCTCATTCTTTGAAGCCTCATGAAAATTCTCCACAAGATATGGAACTGCATCATCATCATCTTCTCCAGTTGCAAGTGGTACTTTTCCATCCACAGATTGTTTGAGCAGGGCTTCAGCCAATCTTCTTAAACCACCCAGGCTATCTGCACCAAGCTGATTTAAGATGCTGGGTAACATTTCTGTCAGCTGCTTTGTCTCAGCATGGCTGGTAATGGTCAAAGTGTTTGCTGCCAGAGATGCCTGAACTTTAGGATTATTAAAGTGGATCACCGTTCCTTGATTTGTAAACATATTTACCTCTTCAATACCAGAGCTATATGGTTTACCCCTAATTTTTTTAAGGAGAACTGAAGTTTTTTTGTCATCTGCTGTAGCTGTTCTATGAACCACCTTCTTTTTTTAAAAAAAAATTATTTATTGTGCATGTACCGTCAAATCAGATCTGATTGGTACAGGAGGGAAATTTTCCCTCCTTCTCCGGCAGAGCATCTGGTGGATTTAAACCGTGTACCTCTGGGATTGTAGTACAGCTTCTTGCCACTAGGCCACCAGAGCTCCCTGAACTACCTTCTTTCTACATGCAGTTCCTTTTCCACCAATGTGCACTTGTGACTTCAATTTGACAATTCTCCTGATTCATGATCATTTCTTTCATCTTGTCAGAGAGGAAACTGGGCCAAGCGGGGGACTAGGGCAGGCACTCAGGGGGTCTTTTGGCAGACCAGCTACAAACGAGGGGATGCAAGATGGCCGCTAGCACCTATAAGCTATTTTTGAAGTTAATGCAGGTAAAGTTCTTTCCTGATGTAAAAAATGTCTCTTAGCTTGTTTTAATCTTCTTCCAAGTTAATATTCTCAACATTACAAGAATATTTTTAAATGACATTACAGTATTAAAAATGTCAGGAATGATGACATTATTTGTAGAAAATTGTGTGAAGGAAGCCATTTACTTCTAAAGGTGCAAGATTGGGTCTTGTGGAAGTCAGTAGTAGGATTCCATTAGAATAGGCTATCTATCTTTCAGGATGACAGAAGAATCACCAATGCCTCTGTGGTGTTGGAGAAGAGCACTGAATATTCCAAAGACTGTAAGAACAAACAAATCTGTTCTGAAGAAAGAAGAGCAATCAAAGAGCTTTTCAGAGATAAAGATGGTGAACCTTCATCTCACTACTATGGATACGTTATCAGAGAAGACCAGTACTTGGAAAGAAAATACATCATGGGAAATGTGGAGGGTCAGAGAAAATACCATCATTGAGGCAAAATGACAAAGTGACCACAACAAAAAGCTCAATACGTCAGAGCTGGTAAGGATGGTGCAGAACAAGTCAAGGTTCTTCTATTGTTGACACAGTTGCTTTAAGTTGTAGTGGACTCAATGGCACCTGACAACAACTAGGTATCAAGTCACCACAAAAGACATATCCCCAAGGAAATTAGAACTGAGGCACACAAGTTTGTACACTAATGTTAAATAACATTATTCACTATCACAAGAACATGGAAAATAGCCCAAATGTCCAATAACAATTTTGAAAATTACTTTGAAAACTTGGGAGAGACTGGAAGGCATTATGCTGAGTGAACTCAGTCTCAAAAGGACAAATACTGCATAACACCACTATTGTAAAAACAGAAGGATTAACTAGTAAAAGATCTATGGAGATCCAAGGAAGGAAGGCATGGGAGCAGAAGTGTGAGGATGGGCAAGGGAGAAAACATAAGGTTGAACAATTTGGTAAGTGAAGCATGGGGGGTAATGGAAATGGCAATGATCTGGGGGAATCTGGAAAGACAGGGATTAATGATAGGCATAGTTCAATAGTGATTAATTTTAAAAAACATAATTAATGGGAATAATTGTATAAAACACAACGTGAATAAAGGATAGTGTGAAACATAATGTATATGAACTTTGTAAGTAAACCAATATATTAAAAAGAGTATGTATAGAGCAATATCGTTGATTTCACATGTACGCAAGATTCTACTGAAGATTATCCAAAAAGGACTGGAACAGCACATCAGCAGAGAACTGCCAGAAGTCCAGGCTGGGTTTAGAAGGGGTTGTGGTACTAGGAATATCATAGCTGATGTTAGATGGATCTTAGCTGAAAGCAGGGAATACCAGAAGAATGTTTATCTGTGTTTCATTGATTATGCAAAGACATTTGATTGTGTGGATCATAACAAACTGTGGCTGACTCTGAGAAGAATGGGAATCCCAGAACATTTAATGATGCTAATGTGAAACCTATACTTGGACCAAGAGGCAGTCGTCAGAAGGGCATATGCCAGGGATGTGTCCTGTCTCCATACCTTTTCAACCTGTATGCAGAACAGATTATCTGGGAGACTGCGCCTATGAGGAGGAATGTGGGGTCAAGATTGGTGGAAGATCTATCAACAATCTGCATTATGCAGATGACACAACCCTGCTTGCTGAAACTGAGGAGGACCTGAAGCGCTTGCTGCAGAGGGTCAAGGACTACAGCCTCCAATATGGATTGAGGCTCAATGTCAAGAAGACAAAGATTCTCACCACTGGACCAAATGGCAGCATCAGGATGGATGGTGAAGAGATTGAGATTGTTCACAGCTTCAGTTTGCTTGGCTCCCAGGAAAACTAAAAGACGTAGTGCCACGAGAAAGTGTGCTGTTAGGGACCTCTCCAAAGTACTGAAGAGCAATGGTGTCTCTCTGGAAACTAAGGTGCATCTGATACAGGCCAAGGTCTTTGCTATCACTTGTTATGCATCAGAGTTGGACAGTGACTAAGGAGGATAGAAGGAGAATTGATGCCTTTGAGCTATGGTGCTGGAGAAGAGTATTGAGAATACCATGGACTGCCAAGAAAACAAACAGATTTGTCCTGGAGAGGATTAAACCGGGCTGCTCCTTGCAGGCAAGGATTCTGAGGCTTCGTCTGACATACTCTGGACATGTTGTAAGGAGGGACTGGTCCTTCCTTGGAGAGGGACGTCATGCTTGGTAGGGTGGAGGGACAGCACAGGAGAGGAAGGCCCTCTATGAGCTGGATTGATTCAGTGACTGGGGTAATAGGGATGGGTGTGTCAGAGGCAGTGCGATTGGCATAGCACAGAGCAGAGTTTAGAGCTGTTGTCCATAGGGTCACTATAAGTCGCAAGCGACTCAATGGCACCTAACAACAACAACAACATCAACATGTATAGTAGGATAGTAATGGCAAAGAGCTGAGAGTGAATACTACACACACAACAATAACTTGAAGTATTGTGGAGATATGGTTAGAAGATTTAGTGAAGGGGTAAATTTAATCAGAAGCTGAGTGCAGAGTGACTGAATCCATGCTGAGCTGGAGGAGTTACCAGCAAAGGATGAGTGCTGGAGACGGAAGGAAAAATTCATGTCCATTATGTCCACACAGTCATTGTACCAAAAGAATTGGCTGACACAGAATCGCTTCAGAAAGTAGCATAAGATCAAGAAATAAAGGTAAAAATGGAAGAAGTTCAACCAGCTCTGAAGGTTTTGGCAAAAAATGAGGCCCCAGGATTGATGGAATACCAACGGTTGTATTTCAACTGATTCAGCCTTGGATGTGCTCACTAGACTGTGCTAAGAAATCTGGAGGAGAGCTACCTGGCCAACTGACTGGCAAAGATCCATATTTATTCTCATTCCCCAAAAAGATGATCCAAAAGAATGTAGAAATCATCAAACAATATCATTAATATCACAAGCAAGTTAAATCTTGTTGAAGATTATAAAAAAACTGGTTAGAACAGTACATCAACAGAGAACTGCCAGAAACACAAGCTTGATTTAGAAAAAGCTGTGGCACTAGGGTTATCACTAATGTCAGATGGATCCTTCCTGAAAGCAAGGTACCAGAAGGGTGTCTATTTGTGTTTTATCAACGATGCAAAGGTATTTGACTTTGTGGATCACAACAAATGATGACTAACACTGAGAAGAATGGTAAACCCAGAAAGCTCAATTGTACTAATACAAAACCTCTATCTAAGACTTATACTAAGCTGTTGTACGAACAGAGCCAAGAAACAGCATGGTTTAAAATCAAGAAAGGTATGCATCAAGGATGTACCATTTCTCCATAAATTTTCAATCTATATGCTGAAGAGATCATCCAAGAAGCTGGATTTTATGAAGAAGATTGTTGCATTAGGATTGGAGGAAAACTCACAAACAAACTGCATTATGCAAATGCTTGCTGTAAGTGAAGGAAGACTTTGAAGCTTTTGCTGCAGAAGATCCAGGACTACAAACTTGTAGATGGATTACATCTCAACAAGAAAACAAAAATCCTAACCACCAAGCCAACAGGCAGTAAGAGAGATGGAGAAAAGATTGAGGTTATCAATGATTTCATCTTATTTGGACACACAATCAACACGCTTGGCATGAACAGTCAGGAAATCAAAAGATGAGTTTCACTGACAAAACTGGCTGTGAAAGACTTCTCCAAAGTATTAAAGAGCAACCGACGTCAAGATTAAAGACGTGATCCAACCCGTGGTATTTTCAATTGCTTGCTATACATCTGAGAGCTGGACTATGAATAAGGATGACGGAGTTGTAGTGCTGGGTTTCAGTACTGAACATTCCACAGATTGCAAAGAGAACAAACAGATCTGTCCTGGAAAAGTGGAACCAAGGTGCTCTTGGGAGGCAAAGGTTTTAAAAGTACATTTCAAACACTTTGGGCATGTTGCAGGAGGGACCAGTCCTTGGAGAAGGAAATCAAGTTTGCAAAGGTAAGGAGTTAGTACAAGAGGAAGATCCTTGATGAGATGGATTGCCACAGTAACATTAACAATTAGGCTAAGGGTGTCAGAGATGGTGAAGTTGGCTTAGGATATGGCAAGGTTCAGTGCTGTTGTTCAAAGGAGTCATAGCTGTCTCATGTTGTTAGATGACACCCAACAATAATATAAATCCTTTAAGTACTGGATGCCATCATAAGTATTGTTATATGCCACTGAGTCACTCACAGCAACTCTATGGACAACAGCCCTGAAACCTGCTCTATCCTGTGCCAACTTTACTGTCTCTGACACAACTACGCTCATTACCCCAGTCAATCCATCTCATTCATGGTCTCCTTCTCTGTCCCTCTGCCCTTCCAAGGATGATGTCCCTGTCAAAGACATCCTATTAAGTCCTTGACCTTGGCTGATGCCATCTTTTTGACATCAATCAAATCTGCTGTGAAAGATCACTTTAAAGTCTTAGGAAAAAGAAATAATTGTCTATGCTTTAAAAATCTGGACAATGAAAATAGAAGAAAATAAACAGACACATTTAAATAACAACATCGCTGAAGTTAAAGGCTAGACTACCCAAATAAAATCCAAGTATCTTTTGGAGGAAGGATAGCCAGAATGCTTCTTAGAAGAAAGAGTGCTAAGATTTTATCTAACTTTGGATATGTCCTCAAGAGGGGCCAATACTTGAAGTGTAACATGCTTGGTAAAGTAGAGGGTCAGTGAAATGAAGAGGAAGCTCCTCAACAAGATGGATTAGAGTAGTGGTTCCAATAATGAATCAAAACATAGAAGTTACTTTGAGTATGGCACAGAATAGGGTCACACTCCATTCTTTTCTATGTGAGATGTGAGTCAAAGTGGATGGAAGTTTCCAAGCAAAATGCCTCTGAACAGAATAAACTTACGATCTAAGAAACTACATTCTAATATTTTAAAACATTTACCTTGGATAATTCAGTAATGGTTCTTTTTTCAGGAACATTTTCTTCCCACTGTAAATCACTTTCATGATTAGGATCTAAAACCTGAGGTTTAAAACAAACAAATGCTTTAGACATTGTACAAAGCCTAGCATATTAAATTCTCAATATATGCTCCTAAATCAGTATACCCGATTTTTTCACTTTTTCAGTCTTTAATATAAAAACAGGGGTGTAAGGGGACGTTTTGGCACTCTAAGCATCTACTAATCGATGTATAAACATCAACGTCAAAGATGCAAAACCTCTGAAATAACAGGAGCTCTGGTACCATTTCCCGTAGGTAGTGGCAGCTCCTCTCTGGTGGTTCGAATTCACCAGGAGTTCCTGGAAAGATGAGCAAAGTCCTCCTTGAGGTTTATGGGATTGGAAAGGCAATGAAGTAGCCAATTCCGACTTGAGGGCAAAGAGTAAAATCTGATCTGTAACTCAATATTCCTCCCATATCGTGAGCAAGTTTCGGTGTGTTCGAGGAGTTACAGAACCACACTCGAAAGCTTGCTCATTCACTGCCGTTGGGTCAGTTCCGACTCAGTGACCCTCCATCGTTTTACGAGAGGATGTAAATCTCCATTCTTCCGCTGAGCCGTTGGTGGATTGGAACAGCGAGGGCGAACAGCCTTTCGGTGGGCAGTGCCACCCATTAAGAACTTCGCCACCTGAGGTCCCTCATGCTGGAAGGTAGGGTCCTAATCTTCCTCATGGTTGCCTTGCAGAACAGGTTGCTCCAAGTTCGTCTCGGCATATCCTCCAAAGTATTTCTACAACCTGTTAAGAGGATTGCCGTCCAGTCTCCCTCAGATCCAGCGTCAGTGGCGCCTCCCACTACCCCCAGGAGTCGGGACGTCGCAGGCGCTGCACAGCGGCCGACTGGGCACGACTCCAGGCCCGCCCTGCCGCCCTCAGCGTGGGCCATGGCTCACTTCGCGCCCACTTTCTAGCCCAGTCAACCCAGAATGCATTGCCTTCCGCCGACCGGAACACTCACCGAGCCCGGCGCCTCCTGCTGTTCACAGGGAGGCCCGTCGGAGACCTCGGCGGCAGCTGACGGCCTGTTGTCCAGGCGGGCGAAGGGGTTCCGCCGGGCCGGGGTCCTGCTGCCTGTACCCGTCACGGCAGGAAAGGGTCGGAGGGACAATCCGGCGGCCAGGGCGGCGCGGCGAGCCACTGGCTCAGGAATCGGGGACCCCGTGACCCTGTGACCCCTTTTTCTTCGGAGCCGCAGTGTTTCGGGTGGCTTCTTGAAGCTGGGCGAGTAGCCAGGAACGGGGAGAGCCATAACGCGCAGCTCTGATGGGGCAGTGCACTGCCTTCCGGAACACACTTCCCGCGCGCTCACCGGACCCACCCCCCCCACCTGGTGCTGTACTGGGCATGCGCCTGAAGCCGCCATGAGGCTCCGCCCCGACGTAAAGGCGTGCCTAGTAAGAGCCCCGTGCTATCCAGAGACCCGCCACTCGGGACTTTAGCTCGAACTCTTCATTGGTCGTCAGCAGGGCGCCAGGTGCGGATTGCCTAGAGAGCACGCAGTCCAGAAAACGTGTGTAGAATTACCGAAATAGCTGACTGGTTTTTTAAATTCGCAGCAGGGAGGCCATCAGCGCCTGAAGTACTGCTCCTGGATGAGTTGTGGTTCCGGGCACTAGGGAAGCCTAGGCTTCCGCCCCCAGTAGAGAACTGTTTGAAACAGGAATAGAAGCACGTGCAGCCTCCACCACCCTTGCCACCATTCCTGTTACCAGGCTTCCCCTGCACATAACAGGAGCTGCGACTGACGAAAAACGATGGGTACAGGCAGCAGGACCTCGACCCGGAGAAACACCTTCACCTGCCAGTGACCCTCTTTGGTCCTGGGGATCCTTGAGTGAACATCTGAAAACAAAAATTTAAGTGCCTATGGAATGATTTTCTTAAATGTCGAAATTATGACCATGTGATTAAATCACGACAGGAAATATTTGTTAAATAATGAAGATGTGAATGGAGCTGGTAACAAAGTAATAACCTTACTTTAACAGTATAGTCAAGGAACAATGAAATCACCTTTATCAATACAGTAATACGGTTACTGCTGCAAGCAGTTTTCTTCATGGTAAGACTTTTACAGTAGAGGCAAATGCAAAAAGAAAATAGGTTTTGAGAATATTCCCTTCAAATGTTAATTATAGGATTATGTTTACTATTTGCACAAAAATCTGTTTTTCAAATGCTTCATTTTTAGATTACATGCTAACGGAACAGAAAACTTGATTTGATTTTTCGGAACAATTTCCAAGGAAACTTTGGCTTCAAATACAGGAATGTTTTCTTCCATATGAGGTCTCAGGAAAAATAAAATTAAAATTGAACAACTTGCTTTTTTCTTTCTTGATTTTTTTGAATAACTTCCATGGAAACTTTTGCCTCATACAGTGGAATGGGCTCATCCAATTGAGGTCTAGGGAAGGAAGAATTAAATTATAAGTGCCAGAGCTATGTAAAGATCACACAAAATGGTCATAGACAATTACTAGAGCTTAAATTTATTTAAATAAATTTGTTCATTATTACTTCCATTGAAAACTAAACAAGAAAAAGAGGTTAAATTTTGAAGGGGAAAAATATCTACACTACTTTTGTAGGTGATAAGATCTACCTTTTTCTTTTTTAAACAATCCTGCACTCTCTTCCCAAGTTTCTTTTGGAAGACTGAGAGAAAGCAAAGGATAATGTAGGAGATAGGATGGAGTAGCCAATTCTATCTTTAGGAATACTGAGACATACTTTGAAAAATACTCAAGAACAGCTATTTCTTGAAACAAAAGAATCAAATATAGAGTTACTAGGTATACCCTGGTGTAAAACTGAAACAAAAATGGAAATGCTTGCCTTATTTCAAGAATAAAAAAAGAAATAAGAACAAAGATTCGGTTTATTCACATACCTAAAAATACCGGTTGATAACTTCTCCATAACATCTTTTAAGATACGTAGCTGGAAGGATTTGTTAAGGTAGCAATTTTATTTTACAGGTCATTCATCTTAATGTTTGAATGAAATTTGTACTCTGAAATTAAAAATGTTAGCTGCAGAAAAGTAAACAGTCAGATTTACTTCTAAACCAGGGAAATGGAAACTACTTGAAAAAGGTTAAGGTGCGAGAGCCCAAGTTTCTAAAGACAAATGATAAAAGAAGAGGCCTAGGGCTTACATTACTAAGGTAATTTAATGACTGCTGCCATCCTAAATGGTAATCAACCGTGGCTACCAGCCAACGGAACAAAACCAGGATCTGGCACTATTTATGGCATTTTCAGTTGAAAAAAATTAACACATCTCTTACTTGAGGTACATTTATTTACTAAAATGGTTGATAAGTTCTGGTGGCGGCATAGCATCTAGTATGGGGTACTGCTAACCAAAGGCCACACATTTCTAGCAGTTGAAATCTACCAGTCACTCCAAGGGAGACAGCTGGGCAGTCTCATTGTTAATATTTAGTTTTGGGAACCTGAGGGAGGGTGCTAGGAGTAAAATCCACTTGACAACAGTGGTTTTATTTGGTGCTTCTGTATGATAATAGACTGAAAGTTTACATGAAAGAAAAGTCTACAAATTGTATATGTCACCAGTAATCAGAAAACAGTATAAAAATGAAATTTTAGTTCAGTCATATAGTTTTAGAAACTATAGTCCAGAGATCAAGAGTTTTAACTGTAAAAATTGGAGAATTCCTGATAGTGTATAATCACAATTACTATCTCTCTATGTGAAGAGACCCCACGAGGTGGTATAGCACTGGTCTGTGCGTTGCTGTACAGAGGTAAGTCGTGGTTGCTGTGATGCTGAAGACTGTGACAGTGATGTGCCAATCGTGGGTAACAGGTATCCATGGTGGACAGTGTTTGCTGGAGCTTCCCGACTAAACCAAGCTTGGAAGCAGGAGAGGCATCCACTTCCAAAATGGCTTGCCTCCAGAAACTCGATGTACGAAGAGTGCTCAGGCCATTCATCCATAGGTTCGCTATGAGTCGTCCACGACTCGACAGCACCAAACAGCAACAACAACAACAACAACAACCACATGTGAAGTCACATTCAACCACTAGCTCATGTGTTAACTGAAGGGGTCTACACATGTAGGAATGAAAGTGGGTTCAGGCCTTTAGAAAATATAAATTTAAAAACCTTAAAAAACTACAACCCAAACTCATTGCCTATGAGTTATGATGCATAGTTACTGCAGAAGATGAAATAGAACTGGCAGATAAAGACTTTCCAAAGTCTTCCTTGAAGCAGACGGCTACATTTTTCCACTATGCCGCGATCAGATTCAAACTGCAAACCATTTGGTTAGCAAGAAAGTGCTTTAACTATGTGTCACTAATGCTCCTTAAAACAAAATCCCACAAACGAATTCGCAGCCTTACAAATGCTTTTTCTACTCCTGTTATGCAATTGTCATCAGTGTGTATATATGTGTATGCATATTTCTTCTCACTCATTGCCATGGAGTCAGATCTGACTCATTCATAGTTGACTCTCCAGCGGATATCGAAGGCTATATATCACATGGGAGGAAACTGCTCATTTTTCTCCAGAACTATCTACAGACTGGAACCATTAAAGAGGTGTGGACTTTGGGTTAGTCGCATGCCTCCTTGGAGACTATACCACCAGTGCTCTTTGCCTATATCTTAGGAAAATGGAATTTTCCTAAGAAAATTCTCATGTAAACATATTATATGTCAACATAGTTCATGAATATATAAAAAAGATTAAAATAATTTTCCTACAAGAATAAGGAATGAGAGTAGAGAGAATCAGTATCAGACAAAGTTGCCAGCTTAGCTTTTGGCATGTAAGATTCAAAGTATTAATTAATATTACTTTTAATTTTTAATTAGTGTTTTCCACTAGTAATATCCCATGGTATTCTTGATAATTACAATGTTATTGACATTTAAGTTGTTTAAAAATGAAATATATAAAATATTTTGTTGACTTTTAAAGAGTTTATTTCCAAATTTAATAATAAGAAATACGTTAAACTCACATTCATTACATTAAGGGGATGTTCTGATTTTGAAATCACTTTTAAACTTAACACATGTTATGGTTTAAATCTTCCTATTTTAGAATTTTGAATTAATTCTGTCTTTGCTACTTGAGGGTGCTGGCCTTTAAACATTTCACAGTATGTAACTAAATACAAATAATGAATATGAGACTTAGTGGAGATAAGAAGACTATGCAAGTTTCTTGGTAAACACATATACTTTAAAAGATCTGATTTATAAAAAATAAACATATTAAAGTTTTTGCCAGTATAGTTAACCTTGAAATGGTAATATTTTAAATAAAAGATTTATTCTTAAGTAGACTTTGCTCTAAAAAGTTCTGGACTTTTCCTTGTGTTAAATGCTCTCACATTTTTTCAAGAAAAGTTTTCATTACTTTTACCCAAATGTACATGATTTTATTTAATTTGCCAGGTTTGTTTCAGAATAACTTGTTTTCAAAGATGAAGTTTTATCCTCATTTGGGGAAGACTTGTTGGTACTGAACTGCAAAACTGCTGCAGAAATTCATTAAATTTTGGCAACAGTCGGAAATGTTTTCTTCCATGGTCCTGCCATAGGATTAAGTGTATAGCTTCACAAGTGTAATTACCACAGGTTCAAAACAAACTTTCCAAGCATTTTATTGGTTTAATGCATATTCAGAAAAGAGCCAAACAGTTGGGAGTGTGAGTCCTAGTTTCCAATTATTTAGCTCTGGTTTTGAACACACATTAACTTCTTTATATCTCAGTTTCTTCACCTGTGAAATATGTGTAACAATAGTATTTGTTTGTTTTTTTAAATTTATTTATTATTTTTTAAATGTCATTATTTTTTGTGTGTACCGTCAAATCAGATCTGACTGGTATAGGAGGAGATTGTTCCTCCTTCTCCAACAGAGCATCTGGTGGATTCGAACCGCTCACCTCTGAAATTGCAGTGCAGCTTCTTGCCAGTAGGCCACCAGAGCTCGCCGTAACAATAGTATTTATACCACTTAGGGCTATTTTTGGACATGTTGTGAGGAGAGACCGGTCCTTGGAGAGGGACATCATGCTTGGGAGGGTGGAGGGACAGCGCAGGAGAGGAAGGCCCTCTATGAGGTGGATTGATTCAGTGATTGGGATAATTGGGATGGGAGTGTCGGAGACAGTGCGATTGGCACAGGACAGAGCGGAGTTTAGGGCTGTTGTACATAGGGTCGCTATGAGTCGCAGGCGACTCGACGGCACATAACAACAACAACAGGGCTATTTTAATGTTTATCTTAATTAATGTCTGGCAAAGCACTTGGAACACTGTTTGACATACTGAATAAGAGTCAGCTGCTATTATTATTTTTAAAACTTAACAATTAGATTATTACAAGATAAAAGTCAAGGTAATAATGCAAGTTACTAAAAAAGGATATAAAGATATTTTCCTTGTTGTGCATTTGACAAATTCCAAACTTCATCGTTAAGGAAAGACACTGTTGCTCCTTTGAGGAAAAGGCAGTGGCTGTCTGGAGGATCCAACTTGGACAGAATGCACAAAGACTGATTAGTCATTGTGAGTTTAAAAGCAGAAAGATAATGGGTATCTTGAACCAGAAAAATATCTACTCAAATAACATCTAAATCCCAAATAATCAGCATACAAACTTTAATCAAATATAAATTAGGGTTATTAAAATCATATGGTATTTGCACATCAGTCATTAAATACTTATTCTATTGTATAAATGTGAGTGGTAACAAAATGTATACTTAGTGCCAACTTGAATAAGTTGCAACAGTTCTATATAGAAAATATTTTCTAAGTACATGTTAACAAAGTTACTAAAAAAAAGTCTTAGGAAGCAATTTAAAAGTCATTATTTTACAAAGCATTAAATAAAATTCTGTCATTTTAGTTAAAGGAGTTCCTCTGCTAAGCAGTAAGATTTTCCTGGCCAGCTTGTAGCTTCAAGTAAAAAAGCAACATATTTTTTTAACAAGGAACTCATGAAATATCCAAAATGGGTGACTGTGGAGGACATTATGCTGAGTGAAATATCTCAGTCACAAAAGGACAAATACTATATGGTGCCACTGTTGTAGAATGAGGCTGACATCAGGGTGGGGGTAAGACTGGATAAATTATGTTTACTGCATTGAAGCCGATGAGGAGAGAACATTTTAAAAGTAATATGTTTTAGGGCATTATGATTATCATGAGAGTCTGGAATGAGGGTTGAAAGAGTGGAGTATACTCGGGGGAGGGGGGGGTGATTGTGTACCAATGAAGGAGGTTTTCTTTTGCTTTTCAAGGGGAAGAGCGAACTGGGGTTGGGGTGGGCAGGAAGAAAAGTGTAACAATGAATGAATGGAAATCCAAAATCTCTGTAGATATTCATGGAAATTAATTTTTTTAAAAAAGGCAACTTTTTAACTCAATATATTAACTTAGCCAGCCCTTTCCCCCAAAAAAGAGTTAGGCATTATTCTTTGTTCCTTATATTCCTTTGGTGTTATACCCACTTGCCACTGACTTGTTTCTGAGCCATAACAAACCTCCCTGAGGCTTCCAGAGCTATAAATCTTTATGGCTGGATATTGCCCATTTCCCCCCCCCCCTTGGAGTGGCTAGTGGATTTTAAATGCTGACCTTTCTGTTAGCAGCCCGACACATTACTATGCCACCAGGGATCCTTTTTGGTGGACCAGAAATGCTTTATTATTTCTGATGATACCTGAAGGTTTTCTTCTCTTGTTACCCAGTGGCCTCCAACACCTAGAAGTGTGATGATATCGTGTTTATGTGGCAGAAGTTGTTGCTTCTTAGCAGGTTCATCATCTTTACCATATAATCTCACTTAAAAGGGAGCAGTCAAAAGAGACAAAGAGAAGAAATATACTTTAAAATAACATGCACAAAAACTTCTCAAACTCTCTTTACTTTTTCATAATCAGAATGAGGAAAAAGACAATAGTTTATTCTACTACCTTAAAATACATATTTTATACTAACAGTGGTTATAAAATTTACACCATACTTAATTTTAAATGAAAAAGAAATAAGATAAAGTCTATTTGCAACTGAAAACTTGGCAAGTCTGATAACTTTTTTTTTTACTGCCATGCATAAATTTTATTGACATTTAAAAATCCACAAATAAATAACTTCAAATAAGGTCTAGAGAAATAGCTCCTGCATACTTCTGTTAATTCTCAGATTTTTATAATGCCCTTAAATTACTAAAATGTAACACACTAAGGGAAAGAAAACAATATGTTCAAATGGAGTGCTGATACCCTCTTCGCTGTAGGTTTAATATAAAAAGCTAATAATAAACTCATGGGATTCCTTCCCAACAGCATGATGGAAATATGAAGTGAGAGAAACTGGCATTCTTCCTCAGGCAACTTATTATCCTATTTCAGTTTCTTGAAACATCCCTGGTTAAGACTTTTGTGATTGAAAAGACACAGAGAAGTATTTATAAAAGTCCTTCAGGTTCCTCATTAAAGCTGAAGTCACACACTAGAGACAGGTGGTCTGAAGGATAATTGAAGGATGGTAGCCGGTTGGGTCCAATCTGTTCTTCAGTCAGCAAATCAAGAGCTGACCGGACACTAAGAGCATGCTTAGAATACCAGATATAATCCAGAGTGTGCCGGCACTCCCCTGAGGTCCGGATCTTCCAGGTGGTATAGGGAGGTTCGGACTGCCCATCGGCACTCAGCAGCTTATAGGCGCTGTTCAGGTTGAGGCTGGAAGAAGCAAAGTGTTTGTAGACCTCTTCTGTTGGCTCTGCATTGAAGTCCCCACAAACAATAAGAGGAATCTTGGCTCCTTGAGTGATGTTCTGTAGGTTCTGGAGAAGATCACAGCCTTGAGCAGATCTAAACTGCTCCCAGCCAGTGCGTGCTTTTAAGTGGGTGACAGCAATGCAGAACTGTCGACCAGACTCCTTGCACTCGAGAATCTGTGCAATGGCCACTTGATTAGTTTTCAGTGTCATGGCCGTCAGCCTAATATTGGCACTGCTGACTAGCTTGAACCGGTTTTGGAGAAAGAACAAGGCACAGCCATCCGGCCCATTGTTGTGTTCCATATCTAGACAGGGTGACCAGGGCTTGGGGAAAAAAGTGCCTTGATAACCCAGTCTACTGAGGAGTGGTTGGAAGGTGTCAAAATAGTGGTCCACCTCTTGGAGGCACAATATATCAGGATGGTAGGCTAGGATTTCTTCTAGGATGAGACATTTTCTTTCCTCCCACTTCAGTGCTTCAACAGGGCATTGTACAAAGTTGTCTTTGCCTTCTCCTAGAGCTTGGACGAGGATGTTCCATTGCATGACCCTAATAAGTGGGTGGCTACTAGGGCAATCTGTCCTCAGAGTCACAAAGTCCCTCTGGAACCGGGGAGGTCGAGTGTGCAGGACAGCCCTGCATTCCTCAAGGAGCTCTTCAGGATCAATGGGTTCCAGATGTTCTGAGTCAGATGATACCAAATACTCTGGGTGCTGGGAGGCAGCGCTGCTGTTCAGTGTCTTGGCGAGAGCACTATAGAGTCTGCTCGTACCGTTTCCCATGGAACACACTGTTCGGGAACACGACCTCGCGGCGTCTGAGGCCGCAGAGGCCGCCACCAGGAGCCGGGGGGACGCGGGCTGGGGGACGGCCGCCGGCGGAGGCGACCGGCAGCGCAGCGCAAGTCTGATAACTTAATAACAACAATAGCTAACTAAATTGGGAAAAAGGTGATTTCTGATTAAAGAACTCATACACACAAGGTAATCAAAATTCATTGCCATTGAGTCAGTCATGAATTTTACATCTCAAATAAAAAAACAAACAAACCCATCCAAAAAAATCCTTATCACCAAGCCAACAGGCAACACCATGATGGGAAAGAAATGATAGCTGGAGAATAGAGAGAGATCATGACAGATGGAGAAGAGATAGAAATTGTAATTTATTTCATCTTGCTTGCATCCACAGTCAACACAATTGGTACCATCAGCCAGGAAATCAAAGTGCTGCATTGGGAAAGTCTGCTGTAAGGGACTTTTCTCCAAAATGCTGAAATACAATGATGCCTGTTTAAAGACTAAGATGCACCTGATTAAAAGCATGATGTTTTCAATTACTTGCTATGCATCTGAAAGCTAACAATGAATAAATAAGGATGACAGAAGAATCAATGCCTTTGAGTTGTGGTGTTGGAGGAGAGTGCTTTTTATCCTATCAACTGCCAAAAAGTATGTCTTAAAAAAGGTGTGCCTGGCACACACCTTGGAGACAAGAATGTGAAACTTTGCTCACATACTGTGGGCATGTTGTAAGGAGGGCAGTGCGTGGTAAAGGACATTGTGCTTAGAGAATCACCAAAGGAGGGGAAGACTCTCAACAAGATGGAATGACATACTGACTATAATGATGGGCTGAGTTTTTCAGATAATGAGGATGGCACACACATGATAGGATTCAGATCTACTTTCACAGAGTTGCTACGAGTCTCAGTTGACTTGATGACACGGAACAAAACAACAGATGACAAAGGGTCTCTAAACCTCACAAGGTTTCCAAGGCTTTACAGAATCTTCACAAGAATGAGACTGCAATATCTTTATCCCACAGATGGCTGGTGAGTTTGAGCTTTCAACATTTGCTTAGCAGCTGATGCTTTAATTATGGTGCCACCACTGTTTCTTTAAGATAACCATATTCTGACATAATTATTGAAATAGAAAGTCAATGAAATATGCATTTACTGATATCACAGTTTTCCTTTGATGTCAAATCTTGAAAAATACTAGTTAAAAGGGAAACAAACAGGATGGCCAATTCCTGTAACAAAAGATGCATTCACAGTGTAAAGTGGAGACGGCTTTGGAAACTTATTCATTATGTGAAATAGCTCATGTGTACCTAAGTGTGTACAGACCTAGAGGTAAAAAGATAATACTCAACTACCATCGACATGGAAATGAATCCAAGCTGAACCTCCAGTAGGTTTTCAGAGGCTCTAAATGACACCGGAGTTGACTGCCCATCTTTCTCTCTCAACAGATACTGACTGGCTAAACTAAAAAATAAGAAAGAAAAAAAGTTCAAGAAATGAGAAAAAGGAACAAAATTCTGCAACCTTTCCAAACAGCTATTGCAGAAGTACACTAGACAACAGAGGGCAGCCACATACAGAAGAGCTGCCTGAATAAGAATCTGGTGAAACCTGATCAAATGGGGACCAACTAGGAACCTCTAAGGAGATGATGACTTTTGAAGGTTTCTCATAGAGAACTATTACTTGTTACATAAACTCCAATGCTGTCCTGAAAACAGCATTTCTTTCAAAAAGCAGAATCAAACAAAAAGGAGACCCATACTTACTGCCTTAAGTTGATTCCAACTCATAAAGATCTTCCACTGGGTTTCTAAGGCAGTAAATATGGGAGCAGCTGCTAGATTCAAACAGCCGACCTTCTGGTTAGCAGTCTGACATGTTATGAGTAATATATACCAACAGGGCTCCTTTCTCTTCTAAAAATCCCCCCAAAGCAGCTGTGCTATAAAGTACTATGTAGATCATTGTATATAAGACAAGTATCTGGTCTTTTCCAGACAGTTTAAAATGGGAACAAAGTGAAGAAGATCCAATTTAAATAGACAAGTTTCTAGTTAAAAAACTTCAAAACAATTAATCACTCAATTTAATGATTTCTCAGTTATCAATTTGTTCTGAAACTGATTATATATTTGTTGTTGTTATGTTCCATAGAGTCTCTTGTGACTCATAGTGACCCTATATGTACAACAGCCCTATACCCTGCTCTATCCTGTGCCAATCTCACCAACTCCGACACACTTACCCTTATTATCCCAGTCACCGAATCAATCTATCTCATTGAGGGTCTTCCTCTCCTGTGCTGTCCCTCCACCCTCCCAAGCATGATGTCTGTCTCCAAAGGCTGGTCCCTCCTTGCAATGTATCTAAAGTGTCAGATGAAGCTTTAGAATCCTTATCTCTAAAGAGCAGCTTGGTTTCACCCTCTCCAGGACAAACCTGTCCATTCTCTTAGCCATTTGTGGTATATTCAATACTCTTCTCCAGCACCAAAGCTAAAAGGCATCAACTCTCCTTCTATCATCCCTAGTCATCGTCCAACTCTTTGATGCATACCAAGTGATTGCAAAGACCATGGCCTATATCAGGCTCACCTTAGTCTCCAGACTGACACTGTTGTTCTTCAGTACTTTGGAGAGATCTTTAACAGCAGACTTCCCCAATACAATGTGTCTTTGAATTTGCTAGCTGCTGTTGCCAAAAGTGTTGACTGTGGAGCCATGCAAACTAAAGCTGTTTACAATCTAAATATCTTCACTATCCATCAAGATGCTGCCAATTGGCCCAGTGGTGAGAATCTTTGTTTTCTTGATATTGAGCTTCAATCCATATTGGAGGGTGCAGTTCTTGACCTTGTGCAGAAAGCACTTCAGGTATGTGTGTGTGTGTGTGTGTATATGTATATATAAAATATATATACCTGAAAAATAAAAAAAAAAAATAAATGTGTGTTTGTATACACACACACACACACCCACCCACCCCTGAAAAAAAAATTATATAAAGTCACATACATTATACCAACCTCCAGCATCTAGGACAATGTCTATTCCTAGGCCACCTGTTTCTTCTAAACAGCTTTCAGCAACATGGACTTTGCCATTAGATACATCGACCACTCGGGCTGTAAAGGACAGGAAATAAGGTTGCATCCTGTTCTTTATGTGATCAACACAAAAAAGACATGATAGGAAAAAGGAAAGGCAAGGCAGATGTGGAGCTGTGCTCTAAGATGAGAAAGAAGTTCAAACAGTTCATGAATTTAAAGACAGACAATAATGACACAGATTATACTTTTTCTGGTCTGACTCAGAATTGGTAAGATAAATTTAAATGAAGAAACTGTTCTCTTCAATAAAATAAAAATATATTCTGTAGACAAGGTGTCCAAAGGCTGCTCTGTTGATGGTTCTGGACACCTATAGGATACTGTCCACCCTGAGAACTGTAAGCCATACCAAACCCAAACCCAACCCACCACCATGGAATCAAATTCTATTTTTAGCAACCTTCCAACAATTTTTCAAGGCTATAAATCTTTATGGGAAGGAATACCCACCTTTTTGAGGTTAGTCCTTTTTTCCCTAACCCACTACTTTCCCAAGCATAATGTCCTATTCCAAGGATTGGTTCCTCCTGGTAAGATGTCAAAAGTACATTATAAAAAGTCTTGCCATCCTTGCTTTTAAGGAATTTGGCTGCCTTATTCAAAACCAGTCATGTCTGTTCTTCTGGCAGTCTATGCTGTATTTAATATTCCTTACAAAGACCAGTCAGTCTTCCTTACTCATTGTTCAGCTTTGGCATTTATGCTAGTCAGGCAACTGCAAATACTACGGCTTGGGTAAGTGTACCTTTGCCCAAAGCAATCAATATGTTATCAATTTCTTGACTGATGTGTGCATCCATTAGCATTGATAGTGATTCCAAGAAAAAGGAAATCCTTGCCTTTAGTCTTTATCCCATTTATCTTAATGGTGCTAACTGATCCAGGTATGATGATTTTTATTTATGCTCAAGTGTAATACACACTGAAGTCTGTATTCTTCGATCTTCATCAGTATTTGTGAAGTCCTCTTTATGTCTATAAGTAAGGTTGTGTCATCTGCATATAATGTGTTATTCAACGAGCTGTCTGCCAGTCTTGATGCTGTGCCTTCTTTATACAGTGCAGTTGTACATACAATATTTATCTATTGTTGCTGTGTGTCCTCAAGCTGATTCAGACTCACAGTAATCTTTTATGACAGAGTGCAACTGCCTCATGGGGCTTCGCAGGCTGTAAGCTTTACTAGAACGGACCACAAAGTCCATAGTGTGTGGAGCTGCTGGTGTGTTCAAAGTGTTGATGTTTTGGTTGGTAACTGAGTATAAACATTGTGCCATCAGGGTGCTTTACTTATATTCTCAAATGCATTGTCATCGAGTTGGAACTAACTCCTAGTTGACCTTCCAATGGGTTTCTGAGACTAAATTGCCAAGGAGGAGATGGCTGATTTTCCCCCAGTGGAGCTGCTGGTGGATTCACATGCCAGAGAGGTGCTGCCTTGGGGTTGGCAGCACTAACTCTCTGTTGATTAGGCCTCCAGAGCTCCCTCACTTATATACTAGAGGCTGTTTATTCTTTCTCAGTAACAGAAATCCTCTCCGACCCACTACAGACTTCTCAAAATGAAGACAAGGAAAAAGAACATATTTTTAGTAGTTGGGTGCTCTGTGCTGTCAAGTTGGAATGGACTCTAGCTGATTCTTCAGCAGGTTTTTAGAGACTGTAAAAAATACAGAAGGAGACTGTCTCTTTTTCTCATGGCGCAGCTGGTAGATTCAAACTAGATGCTCTTCAGGGCGGCAGCACAACTCCTTATTACTCTGAGGCCACCATAGCTCCTTATTTTTAGTATTCAGTAAAATGTAAACATTCAATAATTAAATATTCAATAATGTACTTAACATTTTATGTTAATGAGAATAATCCAATGAGAGAATTAAAAAGAAAAATCCATTCTCCTAATCTGAACTGGAAAATGAAGGCATATGTCTATTTCATTTTCATGTCTTTTAACATTTTTTTTTTAACATCTTCTTAAAGATAGTTTCTCCCAGAGCTTCTCAGATTAGAAGTACAGTTCAATAGTAGTCTTAAGTATTCCAAGGGGAGGGGAGGAGAGTAATTCTCAAAGGACCAAAACAACCTATGAGGGCAAATGACTAAGAAGAAAATTCTCTTCAGCAATACTGCCTTTTTTCCTCCATTCTAATTTCATATATTAAAAAAATATTTATCTTCTTTTCTGCAGCTTCTGTCTTCCCTTCTCTCCCATATCCTGGTTCCTTCTGTCAATGGCAATAACATGAGGCCTTGACTTGAACCTATTCCAGTTATTTTTCTGTTTGTAGAACTTTGGACAAGTGAAAGAGATGTGACTTTCTGGTTAGACACACAAGGTCACTGAGGAAGGAAGTAAGGACAAAACATAAACATTAGCAGCTAGTGAACTTTACTTTCATTCTTGCCTGCTCACTGAAACAAAGTATTTTTAATTTGTGTCAAAATCTACCTAATTCTAGTCTGTGTATGTTGACAATTGCTCCAAAGATGGAAAATACTGAAAAATACAGGTTTTAAAAAATATTTAAAAAGATAAACACTTAAGTGAACTTGAATAGATACAAAGCATATTTTGAAAGTTATTTTCATTCTGGATTTTGTTCTATACGTAGTGTAGCTTTTAAGGCAGTTATCTTCAAAATACTATGTGTAAAGTTTGTATAAACAAAAAGAAAAAAGCATTCACAAAAATAGTAATTCACCTATAGTCGGTCTAAATCTCTCAAGGCATTGCTTGTCTTCAAGGCTGTATGCTGTTGAAATCACTTTCGCTCCTCGATGGTGCGCTAACTGAATAGCTATTGTACCAAATGCCTGTGTAGGGTAAAAAAAAAGGCATGAGTTATTAACAGATAATAAGGCATAAGCAAACCAATAAACACACACACAGAGAAACATACACACAACACCTACAAAAAGACAAAAACCAGATAAAAGGCAAAGATTATGCCATTTTTTTAAATTAAAAAAGAGTGTAATAGTTTTTAGATGATATATAACAAAAGTAGGAAAAAAATTAGAGAAAATTCTATTAAGGAAAATATTTGGCTGACTTCCTTCTTCAGACGGGTGGTGGTAGAAAAGTTGGTCACATCACCTGCTTATAAGCAGGTAAAGTACAATATACATTCTCAAAGACAGATGGCTACCTTCAGAAATAGGACTTGGAAAAAGAAAAATGGACTTTTAAGGGCCTTGTCAGTCTGGCATTATATGCACGTGGTATAGTGTTGACATCTCTTTGAAGATTACAGCACTTCAAGGAATGACAACCTTTTGCTGACTACTGGGCAGTTCAAGGAGACCCTACTACCCTGATGTGAGCATCAAAGTGAAGCCAATACTAGAGCTTCCTGCCATTTTTATCAATGAGAAGCTAGGGGCAAGAATTTCATTGGTAGCTAGCTTGAAAAGATTATAAATTCACCTCAAGTTTTGTAAGAATTAAAAATGATATTGTATTTTCATGTATTCTTAGGGTCTTGAGCTACTTTTTGATGATGCCTTTTGTACCTTTTGATTTCGTGTGATCAATCTATGAAATTGGAGACAATAAGAAAAACAGTTTGCCTAAGGTGTGTCTGGTACAAGCCACGGTCTTTGCAATCACATGTTATGTGTCAGAGAGTTGGACAATGACTAGGGAGGATAGAAGGAGAATTGATGCCTTTGAGCTGTGGTGCTGGAGAAGAGTATTGA